AAAGAGCAAACTCTCCCCGATGCAGAGGATCTCTTTTCTCGGTATGGAGTTTGATTCGGTCGAACAGACAGCACGCCTCACAGAGGAACGTGCGCGGTCGGTGCTGAACTGCTTGAATTCATTCAAGGGCAGGACAGCGGTCCCACTGAAACAATTTCAGAGGCTCCTGGGGCATATGGTAGCTGCAGCAGCAGTTACACCGCTGGGGCTGCTTCATATGAGACCGCTTCAGCACTGGCTTCATTGCCGAGTCCCTAGGTGGGCGTGGCAGAGCAGCACTCACCGGGTCCAAGTTACACCGGCCTGTCACCAAACCTTCACCCCGTGGTCAGATCTTACGTTCCATCGGGCAGGAGTGCCCCTAGAACAGGTCTCCAGGCATGCTGTGGTTTACACAGATGCCTCCACCACCGACTCGCACTGGGGCTGCTTCATATGAGACCGCTTCAACACTGGCTCCATGGCCGAGGCCCGAGTTGGGCGTGGTTACGCGGCACTCACCGGGTCCAAGTCATGCCGGCCTGCGGCCAAACCTTCACCCCGTGGTCGGACCTTGTGTTTCTCTGGGCATGAGTGCCCCTAGAACAGGTCTGCAAGCGTGCTGTGGTTTACACGGATGCCTCCACCACTGGCTGGGGGGCCACGTTTAATGGGCACGCAGTGTCGGGGGGCGTGGACGAGCCCCCAACTGCACTGGCATATCAATAGAGTTGTTAGCGGTGCGCCTTGCCTTGAACCATCTCAAAAGGTGTTTATGAGGCAAGCACGTGCTAGTCCAAACCGGACAGCACGGCGACCGTTGCATATATATCATATATATCAACCAAGGTGGTCTGCGCTCCCGTCGCAACTCGCCAAGGATCTGAGGTCACTTCGTGCCATTCACATTCCGGGTGTGCTCAACCGTATGGCCGACGAGCTGTCACGAGCTACGCTCCCAGGAGAATGGAGACTCCATCCCCAGAAGGTCCAGCTGATTTGGAGACATTTCGGAGCCTCTCCGGTAGACCTGTTTGCCTCTCCAGAAACCTCTCATTGCCATTTGTTTTACTCCCTGACCGAGGGAACACTCGGCACGGACACACTGGCACACAGCTGGCCACGGGGCCTGCACAAGTATGCGCTTCCCCCAGTAAGCCTTCTCGCACAGACGCTGTGCAAGGTCAAGGAGGACGAGGAGCAGGTCCTGCTTGTGGCACCCTATTGGCCCATTTGGACCTGCAAGTATGCGTTTCCCCCAGTGAGCCTTCTCGCACAGACGCTGTGTAAGGTCAGGGAGGACGAGGAGCAGATCTTGCTTGTATTGGCCCACTCGGACCTGGTTCCCGGAACTAATGCTCCTTGTGACAGCCCCTCCCTGGCAGATTCCTCTGAGGAAGGATCTACTGACTCAGAGACTGGGCACCCTTTGGCACCCGCGTCCAGACCTCTGGAAACTTCATGTCTGGCAGATTTCTCTGAGGAAGGATCCACTGACTCCGAGACGGGGCACCCTGTGGCACCCGTGTCCAGAACTCTGGAAACTTCATGTCTGGCTTAGGTTCTAGATGACCTACCCCAGCAGGTAGTTGACACCATCACTTCGGCAAGAGCAACATCTACGAGACACGCTTAAGTCTTGAAGTGGAACCTGTTCGACAAGTGGTGTTCTTCTCACCGAGAAGACCCCCGGAAATGCCCAATCATGGTCGTGCTTTCCTTTTTGCAGCAAGGGTTGGAGTGAAGGCTGTCTCCCTCCACCCTTAAAGTCTATGTCGCTGCGATTGCTGCTAACCATGACCCCGTGGAATGGAAGTCGGTAGGGAAGCATGACCTGGTCATCAGGGAGCCTTTGCAGTCAGTCGAGCAAAAAGTTTTTTTCAATGAAAACTCTGTTCCTGCTTGCGCTGGCCTCCATCAAGAGGGTAGGGGACCTGCACGCATTTTCGGTCTGCAATTCATGCCTAGAGTTTGGGCCGGCTGATTCCCATGTAATCCTGAGGCCCCAGCCCGGCTATGTGCCGAAGGTTCTTACTACCCCCTTCAGGGATCAGGTAGTGAATCTGCAAGCACTGCCCCCAGAGGAGGCAGACCCAGCCCTAGCTTTGCTTTGTCCCGTCCGAGCCTTGAGATGGTACGTAGACCGGACACAAAGCTTTAGGACCTCAGACCAGCTCTTTGTCTGTTACGGAGGCCGGCTGAAGGGGAAGGCCATCTCTAAGCAGAGGATGGCCCACTGGATTGTGGGTGCCATCACCCTGGCTTATCAGGCACAGGGTGTGCCCTGCCCACTCAGGTTGCAAGCTCACTCTACTATAAGTGTTGCATCCTCCTGGGCGTTGACTCATGGTGCCTCGCTGACAGATATTTGTAGAGCTGTGGGCTGGACAAAACCAAACACGTTCACTAGATTCTATAGCTTTCATGTGGAGCCGGTATCCTCCTGTGTTCTCACCTGAAACGGGTAGAGGCACTGAGTGGCCCCGGTTTAGTGTCGGCTTGCTAAAACTGCTCCCAAGTGTCCGTACTGTAGACCCTGTCGAGCTCCTCCATCCCCTTGGCAGCCAGACGTGGCAGAATGTCCGGCGCTAGGCCCTCACTCGATGAATCCTTGAGATCCGGTAGAGGGCTCGGTTCCATATGTAGAGACCTAAGTGGATCCCATATGTGTAAAGTCCACGGTATAGCCTCAGAGATTTCTTGCTGCTAGCCCCGGCCTACACCAAAAAGGGGCACAGGCGGCTCGCACGGGACTCTGGAAGGGGCAGCATCCATGGCACTTTGGTAGGGATCCCAATTCGTCAGTCTCCGACGTGACGTCTCCGTTCCCTCCATCAGGGAACAAGGGTTACATATGTAACCGAGACGTTATCAGCATATGTTGAAGTAGATTGGTCTCGTCATCTCTGAGAGAATAAGCGGCATCAGATGCAGAAAACCCCGTCATTACTCCGTCATTCCGTTTTTACTTTCACTTTCTGCAGTGAATTGACTGAGATTGACGTTCACCGGCATAACTCTTGCGCAAAGTTTGCACTTTCCTTGTGTGATATCCATTGGCTCACCTTCATGGTTTAAAACAGAACCAATCCCCAATATTATTATTATTATTATTATTATTATTAGGGCCCGAGCACCGCGGTGCGAGGACCCTCTGTTTTTGTAACTCAGGCATAACATGTCCGATCTTTCCCAAACTTCACATGTTTGATAAGAGTCCTGGCCTGAACACATCTAAAGGCCAATATTCAATCGGGTGTGGCAAAATGGCTCGACAGCGCCATCTATAAACTTTCAACGGAGTGCGCCTCGAGCTACATTTCACCTACATGTACGTAAATCGGTACACACATGTAACACACCGATACCTACAAAAAAGTATATTGGAGCAAAATCCGAAAGCCAACAGTAAGTCGGTCATTTTTAATTTTCTCAGCAAATTTTGTGTCATTTTTGCCATTTTTAGACGTTGTATTTTAACGAACTCCTCCTAGAGATTAATTCAGATGAGTTTGATAAAAGTGCTGGATTGAAGAAATCTACATGCCAAAATCCAGTTATAGTTATAGCGCCAACAGCTGGCAGCAGGAAGATTGGCACATATAAATGACTTTGACGTATTCCTCCTATATTTACCACTTTAAATCCATATTGCTCGCCGTTCGCTGTTTTACTAAAGCCACCCCATGGCGGTGAGCCCGGGTGCGAGGGCCCGTTCATCGCTGCTTGCAGCTTTAATTATTCCTCTTCTTCTTCTTCTAAAAAGTGAATCGCATTTTTGACTGCTTGCAGCTTTAATTATTATTATTATTATTATTATTGGTGTGCAATTTGACCACTTCAAGTTTTCATGAATGCATGTTAAATATACCCTGCTACATCCAGTGGCTGTTGTAAATGCATGTGTGTCAGTGTTGCTGTGAAATACCTGTGTGTGTGTGTGTGTGTGTGTGCGCGTGCGTGCGTGCGTGTGTTGTATGTGACACTGGATGTGTGTGTGTTTATAAGTGATGAATGTTGTTCATATACCCTCTCACACACACTCTCACACTCTCTCTCACACACACACACAAACACACTCTCTCTCTCTCACACACACACAGACACACACACAGGTTTATCTAAATAAGCACATGTCAAAGACTGTTAAAGCGAGTCATAATAACTACTGACTAACTCAAAAGAAAACCACAGTCACTGTATTTATGAATCATGTTATACGGTATCTTTGAGGAGGTTTTGACACATTAAATTTGTTCTGGTGGCAGTTTCATAAACAACACACACTGAATATCAGTCCTAATGAATTAAAAAGTGTTAATGGAGCACTAATAAACTCTGAGTGTTTGTATCTGTGTTTATGTATGATTATTAATTAGTCAGTGCTGGTAGCTGTCTGTCACAAACACGCACACACACACACACACATGCAGTGATGAAGGTGTCATGTACACCTGTTGATTATCTTCTCATAATTAATGTGTACACACACAGGCTAATTATTCTGCAGCGTTTGATTAATGACTGTGGAGTCGCAGCGTCTCAGACAGAGAGGACAGCTGGGAAATGATTGATGAACACACACGCCGCATGACACAGAAACTGACATACGTGTGCGTGAAACACACACACACACACACACACACAGGCAAACAGCTTCATCTGCTTCAGCTTCACATCATACACAGAGTTTTCTTACTGAGATCAGATGCTGCTGCTTTCTGGCTTCATTTAACATTTCTGTATGCAAATGACAATGCAAATGTGTGTGTGTGTGTGTGTGTGCGTGCGCGTGTGTGTGTGTGTGCGCGAGTGCGAGCGTGTGTGTGTGTGTGCGAGTGCGAGCGTGTGTGTGTGTGTGTGTGCGAGTGCGAGCGTGTGTTTGTGTGTGTGAGTGTGAGTGTGGAAGTTGCTGATACTGTGTTGATATGTAAATATGGGTGGTCTTATGTTAATGAGCTCATTGTTTATGTATTACACCTGCATTGACTCTCTCTCTGTTTCTGTGTGTTTGTCTCCAGCTCTTAGAGTTCGACAGAGAGCTGTCTGTGTTTAAGGAGCGTCTGCATGAGATGGACATCTCGTTTCCTCCGAGGTACGAACACTAGGGTTGGGTTTTGACACAAATTTCACGATTCGATTCTCATTCACAAGCTTTAG